AATTTCAGCTATCTGTTCACCTGCTACAAAGGGGCTAACTGTGATAAGGCTTTGTGACTTATTTCCTCTGTTGCTGCAAAACCTTGCCAGGCAGATTAGCAGGGCTTTTTATTCAAATGAACAAAAAGGATACAAAGATCAAGCGCTCTCAGGGTAACTAATTCAGCTGAACAAGCAGACAAAAATAAGTCTTTATACTCAAGCATACAAATGGGCCCTAACAAAGTTGCACCCGCTTGTATCACCTTTCATTTGCCACCTGACTTAACGCTCAGTCGCTGTGAACTGTGTAACCGTGCTGAAATCAGGTTAAGTGGCTCATTTTGGTGCATCTTCTTCCCTCTTACGGTGGTAAGGTCCTCACCCAAAAGAGCATCCCCACCCCCAAAGGAGCTCAGAACATCACTGAGACAATTTTAACTTGGCTTTTATGTATCAGAGGTCACTACAATACTTACTGCCAGTAAGTGGCTTTACGCATCGTGCTGGTGTTTCATTCTCCGCAAGTCCATTGGGCTTGTCTGCTGCTTCCGTTACACCTGGGTTCGCATGCTGGAACTGTTCTCCATTTCCCTTCACAGACTTGAGATTCAGCTCTTCAGTAGCCTGTCCTTCACCTCCACAGCCCTCCCTGGATGTGGCACATTGGTCAGCACGTTCCTCACTCGGTGCTGGAGTACTGCATCCATTAATGCCATCTATTTTCTCGCCATCCAGTAAAGCAGGATCCTCAGGGTAATCTGAAACATTTTTATTATCTCTTGATTGCACAGAGTTGTTACCGGTGGGTGTCAGGGAGGCGCTGACAAGACAGTTCTTTTGGGAATGGTATTGAGGTATAATTCCAACGAATTTCAAGCCTTGACTTGCAGCATCTTGAATCTACAAGTCAAAGAAGATTAGATTTTTAACTGTCAAGCTGTCTTAGCTAAACAGAAATACAGAAAATAACACCCTTCAAGGCAGCCAGCATGTAATTTTGCTTCTTCTGTCCACTACCACAGGAAATTGTCATGTTATATTTACATAAAAAGTTACATTCTAGAGAAGCATGATGAAAAGCTCCCTAAACCATCTGAAATAATGTGAAACTGAAAGAAAAAAAGAAAAAAACCCAAAACAAAACCAAGAAAATGCCTATATATTTCTTCACAAAGGATAAAGTATCTGTTTGAAAAGTTTATTTATGCTAAATTACCAGAAGTGGTATTAGGCACACAAAGTTCTAGTACCAACCTTATGAATTCAGGGACTTAATATTACATCTTCTGCTGTACTAGGTGCATAATTATGATATTTACTCACAGAAATGGTTATTAATTCTCTCTGTTATACACACTGTTATAACAATAATTTTTGTTTTTCCTAGTTTGGATTGAGACACAAACCAAACACAATGAGTACCTAAAAGCAAAGCTATTTTAATACATTGCTTTTGGGAAAATATAGAACTCCGAATAGAAAAAGGCTTTGTGAGGTGAGCAAAGAAGAATAATGAAAACTAACAGGTGCTATTATTAATCCTATATACTTTAGGTAAAGGATGAAAATGAAGGAATCAAATCACAAAAGATCCTAAGAAAAAGCATTGGGCTAGTAGTAATGATAACTTGATAAAGCTGGAATTAGCTAAGAAAGGTTTAAGATGAAACAGAAAGAGAAAACTCTTTTAGGCAGACTCAGCACTACAGATGCACCATCCATTCGAGTCACCAGCCTCACACTCCTCAAACCCAGAAGCTGCAGTGAGACCCAGACTTCTATGAAAACATGATTATCTGCTGATTATCAAAATCACCCACTGAAAAGGACAGGTTTCCATGTAATGCATATTCTTCATATTATATAAACAAACACAAGTATTTGCTTTGAGACTGGAGAAATTTCACTTTCTCTGCACACCATGTAATTCCAGAGAGTTAAAATGTCTTATTTATTTTCTGAAGCTCAGTTTAGTATGAACTGATGCAAAACAGTTCAGGCCTTTTTTTTTTTCCCCAATAGCAAGTAAATATGAAGAATTTTGTACAAACCTTTTTTTTTTTTCTTTAAATTTAAGCAGAAGCTCATTTCTGCATCTTCCCTACCCAGATTTTTTTTTTTTTTTAATGAATCATCTACTTCCTGGTAACATGTTACTGTTCTGAACACACAAACCTACAGATGATACCTGATCAACAACAAGAACTTCCTCTTTCAAACCACAATTATATTTTCCATATTAAGTTAACTCTTGATTTCATGATCACAGGAACTTAAGCAGAGCTCTCCTGGAAACAAGCCAACGGTCTTCACAGGTGTTTAGCCTGGCAAACACGCGATGCTGACTTAACTCTAAAGCTCACTGATCAAGAGAACAATAACCTCCAAATAAAAACACTACTAGCAGTACCCTGATCAAATGAATATCTGTCTACAAAGAAAGTTAGCAGGTAAATAGCTTGCTCTAAAGGTTTAAGTGAATGTCAGTGACAGATGCATTCATAATCTGCTTAATGGTCCTGACTCCCTGTTGTAATTTTACAAATACTTTTTTATACAGTCAATGATAAGAGTTACAAATTCAGTTCATTTCTTATCACTAACCTACAGACATAGCACTACATTTGTTTAGTAGGTTGCAGGGCAGTTAATTATAGAAGTTTAACTAGTATGCAATCGTTAAGAGTTTGAGGATAGTGCATATGTAGCAGTTTTATTGGAACTGGTCAATAAAGACTGCTTGTCAATCTATACCAGACTCTCCCACGCTGTGATTTTTATGCAAACAGCTTTCACAGCTATTGTAGCAATGTTTTACACTCAAAAAAAAAAAAAAAAAAAAAAAAATTGTTCTAAGCAATACCTGATGCTGAGGTTTTTCTTCTGAGGCTCTTGTTCTCAGAATGGAAATAGGAGGAACTAAGGACTCAATGACAGTCTAAGCCATATTAGTCTAACAGTTTAGCAGAAAGACTGGAAAAAGAGATTGTCTCTTCAAGGCCCTTTCCCAACGAGTTTATTGGCAGTATAAAGAACAGACAATCTTATTTAAACCTATACTTCAAATTTTCTCAATTACATAAGAGAGAACCAAACATCTCATTATTTTCCATAAAGCCAATTTAGCAGGAAATCTTACATCAACAGTGCAAGGTAAGCTGCAGAGCAGCACAGTGATGTATCGACAGACGCAGTCTTTCCTTCCAACTTTCCACAGAACCACGAAGAGGCTAGCTCTCATCATAAATAAAGTACAAAGCCTGAGCGTTTTCAAACAACAAACAAAGGTAGTTTTATTTTTTCAGCACCCTGTTGAGAGCTTGCATAGTACAAAATTTTAGTTGCCTTCACATCCAGACTGAACTGTGCCATCCAGTACACATTCACATTTCCTGTTTCCTGTATCTGAAATACTGAATACTCGAATTATAAAAAAAACCAAACCAACCCAGATTTAAACAAGTTGAAACCTCAGTACCCAGACAGGTCGTGCCCAGAAGCTACACAGGGCAGAAGGGCTGTTTCTATCAGCCACCTGCGTGTTTTGGACCCTTTAGGGCATCCCATGCTGGTACATGCAGAGATGTGTCTGTTCCAGCCTTTTGGGAAAATATCTCAGCAGATGTCATGTTGGGAATTAGCAAGAGGGCAAAGAATGGGAGAAAGCAGGGTTTAGTAAAGCTGAACTGAATGGGAAGAACATGATGCTACTCTGACAGGGTGACCCAGAACATATTCCAGATCAGATAAATACTACAATTACTTGTCAGTTTAGAGTACTAACAAAGAGTACTGAAAAAGGCCCTTGTCATACTACGTTGTATGACTAAATGAGAGGAAAATGAATACAAAGCAGAACAAATGCATCTCCACCACTTACCACATCAGAAAAAAAGCTATATTAAAAATGCCCTTACATTATGTGATCCATACTAATTTCAGTTGTTTTACTGGTCCTTTTTGTGTTTTAAGGTTTTAAATATGCTACATACTTGCTCTTTACATCTTGGGAAATTTTAAAAGGGAAATTCCAACAAAATTTAAAGTAAAAAAAAAAAGTCTTTGGTTCTTTCCCCAAATAGGAACAGAAACATTTTTATTGCCTCATGAAGTGCTGCTTGGATGATATTAACTACAAATACAAGAGCAGGTCTCCATCACAAAAGAAGTTATTTTTCAACAACAGAAGCAGAACTTAACTCATTTATTTCAATCTCGACAAACCCCCAAGTGGGTACACCCAAATCAGTTTATAACTGACTTGCAACAAATTGAATTTATGCGAGTTTAAAAATAGAAGCTGCTTAAAGAAGGGCATGTGTACAGAGGGCCGAGGCAGTTAAAGAATTTAATGTCATCCCTATAATTTGCTTGATTAGAAACCTGGCATTTTCCCTGAAGGGAAAAAAAATGACAGATTTAGCCTTTGCTATCTGTGAAACAAATATCAAATATCCCACTAACTCTAGCAGGAACAGGAACAAGCACCATGTCCAACCCTGATGTCACTAGATGTTCACCTTAATTGAATTTCAGCTGGGGCACTTGTGTTAACATTTCTGAACATTTGTGAAGTGTTATTGTTTATTTCAGAACTGACTGTCCAATATTTTTATGCTGCATTTGGAAAAAAGGAACCGTCAGCAGCACAAAGCAGTGTCATTAAACATTATGTTGATGCAGCAAATTTCTGCCCCATCTTTTTCGATACTTCTGGTTCTCTTGAAGGCTCCCTACTTAATTAGAAAATGGTTGACAGTCTAATTTAAAGATCTGTAAAGCCACACATGGCAGTAGTATGGCTGAATGATGAAATCCTCTTTTCTGAAAACTACTTGTTTTTAAACTATATGCCTCACAACCTGGAAAGAAGCGCAGAGATTCCAGGCTGAGAGCTCATTTTGAACTGCCACATACAGGTTTTCTTTTCAAATCTATTTAGAATAAAGAAACTGGGCAATTTCATTGTACAGTCCACATAGCATTTGTGATTCTGCATTTCTTGTTGCATTTATCAGCTCTGTAATAATCTGCTATTCATAGAAAGCACGATGGTACTACTTACAAATACAGAAGCCCAAGGACATAGATCCCATGCTGAACAGAATCATATACTTTTGTTATCTTTGGTAAATTCTTACAGGGACATTCTGTACATTTCTCCCATGGGATGGCACACAGCAAATCAAACACTTCCCACAAGCTCAGGATAATAGTCCAGCCACATCAATAAACATGGGAAATAATGCCCAGCAATTTAGTAATGAGGATCTCTCTCTCTCTTGGATAAGGATTTTCAAACAAATGATTTAATAAGACAAGTGTTAAGAATTTCTCTTAACTCTTGTACGCCAGGAGCTGGACATTTCAGGATGCATCCACAGGAGCAGCAGTTTTATTCATGTCATCAGGGCACTCCAGTTTATAGCAGTCCTAAATGGTCTCAAGGTTTACACTTCCTTATGCTCTGGAAAAAATCACCTTCACAACCTAGGCATTAGGACTAAACATTTCATTAATGAAGTTTGCTATATGGTTCATGATATAACAAGGCAACAAAAGAATGCTGTAGCAAGCCAGTAAAAGGGACTGCTGCTAACATAAAAACAAACAACAGAAACAATTTATGAAGAGCACACAGAGTAAAAATGTGCTTGGAGAAAGGACAACATTCTCTATGTGCAATGAACTCATTTTCTGATGGTCAGATGCATTTAGTTAGCTCTACAGCAAACTAAGGGAAAAGCTGCTACTTAGTTCTACTGATGGGAAAACATATGGCCTTTGAAACAATAGCTGGGTTAATTTTGCTCAGAGCTATCAAAAACTTTTTTTAAGCCAAGCATAAGCTGTCTTAGCCAATAAAATAAATTCTTGTCTGTCTGTCTGTTTATTTGGTT